CATCAGAACAAGCAGTTTCCAAAGTTTCAACCAGTTTCCCAGCATCATATACACTGGATCAAGCACTTAAGAGCTTTTGCAAAAACTTATCTTAGGTTAGCTAGGAAGCAAGGAATGGATCCTCATAGTCCCTATATTATAATCCATTATATTGATATCCATGTTCGTTTCCATTCCCTCATTCCCAGCTAACCAAAGGCCGGAAAACTCCCAAAGGGTGTCAGGTCGAAGATTCGGTTTCCGCAGCTAAGACTTAGGTTGAAAATGTGACACTCAGGCCTGTTGCAGTCATCGTGTGTCAGCTAGAACGGAATGCAAGCACGCTATATACTTTGAAGCTCTTGCGTCGCTCACTGAACCCTAAACGCTAAATCCCAAATCCTAAACCCCAAACCTGAAACCCTAAACCACGTTTGTGTTAAAGGGATTTACCCACTTGCCAGTCATTTGCCCTGTCCCCAAGGCAGGCGGCCTGAATAGTGGCCCGACTAACACCAACAACTGTCATGCTAGTTGTAACAAGGACGCTAAAAACTAGCAGAAGAAAAACCAATGATAATACCAATGCTAATATGAGTAGGTAGTAAGAATCGTCATAGAACTGCTGCAATGCATTTTTGCGCAGTCTCTCTGGGTACCATGTACCCTCCTTCAGGGGGGGAGTATCACCAGACGCATACCGAAAGATGCAACTACTTCTGCAAGCACCAACACTACTCAGAACAAAGACGTTCTGGTGTCGCAGAATCCTCTTGATGTTTCGTGGACAAGCCCCTACGCCACGTTGGCTTCCGCATCTCTCCTTATCTTCAAGGTAGAAGCAGGCTTTACTCTGTGGCCTACTGACTAAGAGACCCAAGAACCTACCACGGAACAGTCCAGGCATCTTGCAAGCCTTGTAAGGCGTGGGTTACTCTGGATGGAGGATATCTTGCATCACCATATACAGTCTATACTGACTCTAGGCAATAGAATACTTTGGAGATCCTAAGTGATACACAGGTCCTTCCAGCCGGTAAGCTGGCTGGTGCTTCATGTGTAGTGCAGGAGCGGATCCGTACAATGATCCCTGTACCACTCCTATCTTGTATGCATGTCCTTTTCTTCAGTCCCCCACTCTCGCGTAAGCATCAGTGAGTAGGTTCCCCGCAGTTGCCTGCCTTTACGCGCCCATCCCAACTAGAAACGTCTTTTGAAATCAGGACATCTTAACGACCACTTAAAGAGAATTTCAAGGATACCAGGGCACTACATGAAGCAAACCCTAAACTCTAAGCCGCAAACATCGAGTTTGATGGTCTGAACTGGCCTTCGAACCCCATTACTTCGTAGAACCCACAAGTCCGGGAGGCCATTTGAGCATAGTCTAAACTCCATGAGGGGGATTATATAGGGTTTAGGGTTTAGGGTCTAAACTGCAGAAAGGGGGGGTATATATAGTGGGTCATGTACGGGAGTACAGGGTTTTGGAGTGGAATACTGGAGTTTAGACCATAGCTCGTTTAACAAATGCTCTATTCTATCTACTTTGTCCTGAACCCTTCGAATGTCCAACCTGCCAAAACCGCAACGTTGCTTTCTAAGCCCTGAACTCCTAAACCCTGGTAGTGCAACTCCCTGACTTTCCCAAGCCCCCAGACTGTAGTCCCATTACCTGGGTTGCTGTTAAGGAACCTAAATGAAGTTATCATCATGGGTATATAAAATATATTAGATACTGGGGTTTCGCCAATATAGTAACTTGAATTAAGTTCCTTAAGAGCAACCACATAAATTGCAGCTGTAGGACAGGCAGGTTTGATAGGGGAGTCTGCATGAATCTCATTGCTCCTCTGCGCCTCAACCTGGCAACGGATTAGCGGTTAGGGGTTTAGCGTCTAGGGATTAAGATCTTAGGGTTTAGGGATTAGGGTTTAGGGCCAGCGCGGTTTCGGAAGAAAGTGTTTAGCGTTCAGGGTCCATTCCGAAGCTCAATGGGAGTTACACGTCGGGGCTTGGGGGTACTCCAACTCTAGCTGTAACAGGCTACGAACCTCCAAGCACGGCAATTCTGTGATCGTAGCAAAATGCTTTACACCCTTTGGGCCCAGCCAAGCCAAATCAAACTTTTTCTAACCAGTCCCTTCAGAACCCTTGGTCATGACCCCTAGAACCCTCCTTCGTACTTGCTACGTATCTCTAGCGCCCATGGGTCTCTGCCTATGTGAGAAAGGCCTAAGCCCTAAACCCAAACTCCTAACTCTATCCCTTATCCATCTGTATACCCGAACCCTCAGTCCTTTCAATAACACTGTGGATGGGAAAATCCTGCGCCACACTACATCCCACCTTAATTCCTGAGGGAACTGCAGTAGATCAGGGATCTTAGGTGGTGCAAGATGTTCTTCATCCATCAGATCACCTCATCCCTAAACAACTTTAAACCTCGGGTGATACTTATTTGCCCTGAATTATCAATCACTAGGGTTTTTCTCTTGTGATGAAATTATTAACTATTCCAAAGTGCCATCTCAAACCCGTATTGTGAGACCCACCCCAAGTTTTTCGCATCCGCCTCGCTCTCGATGAGATGTGTGGCGCTGGCCACGAGCTGTGCCAAGTTGACCATGGCTCCAGCATAGCTTGCTCACTGAATTCCGTATGAATTTTGGGTTTAGGGTTTATGGGTTCGGGGGTTTGGGAACGATGCCTGAATTCCACACAAAGTAGGGCATATGGTTGATGGGTTGTGGGGTAAAGGCTTCACAAGATCTATATGTTTCTTCGTGCTTCGGATGGCTTCAAGGCTTATATAGGGTTTTGGATTTACTGTTGCAGGGCTCAGGACGCGAGCCAAGCACAGAGAAATCACCATTTTTGGGGATATCCATGAAATCCTCACGTTTCTTAGCGAGTAGAAGCGGATCTCTGCCTTGATGGGATTGGCAAACTCAATCCAAAGCGTGGGTTCAGCATCCATGCTTGGGGAGATTGAGAGTTTAGTTTGGCGTGACTGCTTGAGGAGGTTAGCTTCTTCCCGCGCAAGAAACGGAGTATGTGGAGTGGGGGCTTTATGTACTTGATCCAGAAGCACAATGCTGCAGCCCGACATGGAGGACATTATCCGAAGGGCATGATGGGCTCAGTCGTACGCAAAAATTCCCTTTGCAGACTTCGAAAAAAGGGTGTTCTATGCCTGCAACTGCTAACTGTAGAGAAATGAAGCTTAAAACTACGTTGCAGGGACGTGTCAGTGCACTACTCGCCGGAATGCACCAGTTTGCAGAACAAAGCGAAGTTCCAACACTCACTCCTTGAATTAGGAATTCCTGAAACCTGAAACTAACTACGACCACATAAACACAAATTCGGTCAGTTTCATGTGTTCACATGGTTGACCACAAGAATGCGGTCAAAATAAATTAGCATCCTTAACCGTAGTCACTAATGCCCACGTAGCAAACCGTACACAGAACACTTAAATCCTGAACCTGACGCCCCAAACCCGACACACAGAGTCCTGAATGAGCTGTAATCTAAACTCCTTA